GCCAGCTCTGCTTCCCAGCCCCCCTCCCTTCCTCCCAGCCAGCCCTGCTTCCTTCCCGCCTGCTCCCTCTCCCTCCCCCCCATGAAGTGTGTCTGGTATTTTTTTTAAGACTACCTGGTAACCCTATAATGTGTCAAAAAAAAAAGTGGCTTTACATTTTAATTTAATCGCATGATATGCTCTTTTAGTTTTAAAGTAAGGATTGCTGTATTATGCAATAAGCGCCAAATTGCACATATAAAAACAAACTAAGAAGTACAATGTCTCATACTTAAGTTTGTATTTTTTAAGTAAAGTTTAGTTGTTAATTTAAAAAAAATTAAGTTTAGTTAAGTTTTAGTTTCTTTAGTGTGTTTGATTAATAAAAATAATGTCCTTTTTGATTGAGAATTCAATAAATGTTCGCCTTAAAAAAAATTAAAAATACAATTCCCTGGGTGCACACCCTAATGAAATGTGCTGCGCATGCCTATGCTAAAGATAATGGGATTGTAGCAATGTAATGAGAGAATTTGTGCCAATATGACTAGTGGCATTATAGGCAATAAACACTGTGTAAGGACATTACTGGGATACACAATCCAACTGCTAGTTTTTGCCTTCCTACGACATCTTTGTTTGGAATAACATTTTGAACAGCTTAGGTAATGTTGTATCTTTTTATGGAACCAACAAAAAATACTTACAAGAATCAGTGGCCAAAAGTCTTCAAACTCAGGTGCATTCAGTTAGAAGCCTAACTGGAAGGGGCTTCATTTAAGAGGTAGTGGCAACCCCAGCTCCTACTGCAGTCAATGGGACTTGCAGGTGCTCAGCACCTTTGGAGATCAGCCCACTTTCTATTGGCTGTCCTAATGCTTATATATAAGGCTTGCTTTGTGCACCTTGCTTTCAGATTTTGGCCAATATACAGCCATAGATGTTTGTACATTGTAATCAGAGAATTTTTAAATTGTTTTGTGTTGAATTACCTTTTCTTTAAATTCTGCTAGACAATATGTTGTCCTAACATTTTTATACATATGTACTTTCATTATGTAAATTACTATTTCAAATTTTCTATGTTTAAGAAAAGCATTGGAAATATTTTATAGAAAAATGTTTTGCTAAGTATCCAGGCTGTTATCCCATGCCAACATGTATTTTAAATTCTGAGATCTTCTGGTTACTATATAAACTACAGACAAATATTACTGCTTAAAGTAAAAGTATCTGTTATAGGGCTATATTTTGCCACTTTTATTCATGTTATTTCACTCAGCAAATAGTTCCTTTGTAATTAGTTTGACTACTGTCAAAGAATGTTCTAGAAGCAGCATTATTAATAAGGGTGGCAGAATCTAGCCCATAATCATAATTTGTGATGAAATAACTGCATCATGATAACAAAACTGACCATTGTAAATGTTAAGACAAACCCATTGGAAGAGATCAGTGGAATATACTGTTGTAGACCAGTATCAATTTTATATTAAAGATTTGAGGCTCCACTAATAAAAGACAAGTTAAAGAAATAGCACTTAAAATTAGAGGAGAGTTTATGTTTATACTTTCATTTATAACTTTGTTAAATTAGTAGTATTTTTTGTATCTGCTTAACACAATTATTATATTCTAAAAAAAAATCAAGTGTATTCATATAGTGTCTGCAGATCACTTAGCCCTTGTAATGTGGTTACTGAAAGATGAAAAATGATAATGTGATGTACCTGATGTAAACTGGTGATTTAAAATGTCAGAATCATGCTAAACAAAAATCATGTCTGTGCCATTTAAGGTTTACTATTAATCTTCTACTGAATATATGAAAGTGGGATAAAGGGCTTGTACTATGCACTTTTTATTGACAAATAAATTTCAAATCTTATTAACCTTTTGTTTTTGTCTGAATTTCTTGACAATCAATCAAGGTCACATCTAGCTAAGAACAACTGTAACTAATTTTAAAGCTCTTCTCAAATAATCTAGCAGTTAAAAAGATAATCAACCAACATAGTAACACAACATTAGACTGTTAATCAGGGCAAATCACAAAAAGTGACATTGTCATGCATGGGTTCTAACTTTTGATATGAGCACAGACATGCAACCCAAATAGCAAGTTCGGAGGTTTAAGATACTTTGAAAACTGAAACAGGGATTTCCCCTCTGCTATTTGCATTGGAACCTTTTTGCCCAGAAAGTTAGAAATAGCACAAGAGAAGGGATAACAATAGCAGAGACACAATATAAAATTATGTTATAGTAGGACCTCAGAATTACAAACTACTTGGGAATGGAGGTTGTTTGCATCTCTGAAATGTTTCTAATTGAAGAAAATGTTATGCTTGTTCTTTCAAAAGTTTACAATTGAACATTGGTTTAATACAGGTTTGAAACTTTACCATGTAGCAGAAAAATGCTACTTTTGTTTTTTTTAGTAGTTTTCATTTACACAGTACAATACTTGCTTTTATTCTTGGGGGGAGAGTTGTTTGTTTGTTTCTGCTGTTGCCTGATTGTGCACTTCCCATTCCAAATTATGTGTGCGGTGAATTCATAACTTTGGTGTTTGTAACTCTGAGGTTCTTTTGATTAAGCATATTGTCACATTATTTAAAAAAAGAATCTGTTAACTCAGGGGTTCAACACATTTTCCATCTATGGTTTACTGAAGTGCTGAACTCAAATCCCACAGTTCCTAGTGGCTACATTGGATTGTGAGATTTAGTTAGATACATACAGAAATTGTCTCAACATTTTTAGGATGCTGCGAGGAATTGAGGTGGGACTGGCTGGTGTGAGTTTGATACAGTGCTTTCTCTCTTTCTGTCCATAAGAATTCAGCTCTAGGGTACTATCATTTCCTCTAGAGCTGAGTACTGAGGGAAAAGTGGACTGCTTATGAGATGCTATAGGGTGGGGGAAGCAAAGGGAGTAGCTGCAGGAGAAAATGACCTGCTCCATTCCTCTGCGTCTCAGTTTTTGTTGGGTCTTACCAATTATAGTATGTTAGTAATTTTCTTCTCCCACTAGCAACAGGGTTCAAACCAGTTAACACTGCCTTTTCACCATGTAAATTTACACCCCACTGATCAAGAATTCTTCTGCTATCTCACCCTATGAGATAATAAAGGAAATCAAATATTCAGGAGGGTAATAAGCAACAGTTAATCAGAGAGGGGCAGTTCCCTTTCACAGCTGCAACTATTGCAGCTAGACAAATAGGATGAGCAAAGACATAAAGAATTTGTTTAAATATTTCATTTACTGTTTTTACCAATTAAAAGGATACACTATTGTTCTTAAGGAAAAGCATATTATAAAATGTTTTATGCAATTTTGGGTCACAGTAGAGCAACCATTCACCATCAAGAATCACATGGAGCTAGTTTAAAAAACAAACTTATTACTGTACATTTACAGCTTCTAGCAAGATTCAAGTGATGATTGTTGGGTCTTTATTGTATTTTGTGCTTTGGAATGTTCAATAAAAACAAAGAAATATTATATAATCATAAAATAATAGGACTGGAAAGGACTGTTAATGCTGCATTCAAAGCCGTTTTTTTAAAGCTCTTCAGTGTTACTGTTTACTGCTAACACAAAGATGAACAGAACTATTTAATGAAGACATATATTAAAGATAGCAAAGTAGACTCAGTAGACAGGGTTTTTTTAATTTATTTTATGGAGGGTAACAGCCATTAGCTGAATTAAAAACAAACAAACCCAGGACATGAGGTAAATCACAGAGGAGCTGCAGAATGCCACTTAATAGCAAACCTTGTGGGTAGAATGAAAAATTGTGCACTGAAAATTGGCAAGAAAGATATCTAAAGAAACTCAGGGTTTGGGCGCTAAAGCAAGAGTTGTGTTTAGCCCACCTAAATCTGCAGTTTTCCTTGTAGAGATGGAAAAATCTGACTTTATCAGCTAGACTGATGATTCATGCAGCTTGTTATTCCATGTTCTGTGGGAATCTGTCATAGAGACCATCTCTGAGTCCCAACCCACCAGTTAGCTCACCCTAGTCCTGCCCATTTTGGAGAAGATGAGCAGCCTGGGCTGGGGCCACAGAGGAAGAGGGAGAGGGAGGCGAGCCCTCGGGGTAGAGTGTGGGCAGGGCTATGTTTGGCTGTTTGGGAAGGCTTAGCCTCCCCTGCCCTGCAATACCCGCTGCTCATGGGCACAATCCTGAAAAGAGCTCTGCAGATGAGGATGCTTTCACGAGGAGTAACGGTAGTTCGAACTAGGAAGCCTAGTTCGAACTACCTAGTTCGTGCCCCGTGTAGCCGCGCTGCTCGGGGTTCGAACCAGCGGGGTTTTAAAAATGGCGGCTCCCCGCTTATGCAAATGAAGCCCGGGAAATTCAAATCCCGGGCTTCATTTGCAATTGCGGTATGCCTACATTACCCTCCTAGTTCGAACTAGCGGGGTAGTGTAGACATACCCTCAGCTATTTAATACCATAAGAACACTAGGGAGCTGTGCCCTCTGCTCGCTACACTCCCCACTCTTCCTCCTCCCTCCTACCCCCTGGTTGCTTTTGCTTGGCTGAGAGAGTCTATTGACATTGATGACATGACATCATTCTGTTGCTTGGCAGGAACATTCTGTCATCTGGCATTAAGCATTTTTTTATATATAAAGAGAGAGA